AGTCCGGCATGGACAAGACCAAGGCCGTTCTCCAAGAAAAGGTCATTCAATTCCTTAAATAAAAGCAAGCGTTCATTCTTAACTAATTTTATTATTAATTGCGATAAACTCCTCATTTCTCTGATAAATAACGTTTTTCTACTTCGTAATTATATTTATGGGTCTATGGGTATATATAAATAAAGGGTGGCAATACGGGCACACCCCCAACCATAACCTCAATCACACTCATTCTTTCATTTGTTACAGTGCACCGGTCCCACATTTTAAAATTCCATGTGAAATCTGGTTTACTGTAGCAAATAAGAGGAGAGAAGAGGATGTGGTTGAGGTTGTGGTTGGAGATATGCCTCTATCATTTTCCATAAATAAAAGCGTATGTCGTCGTACTACGAATTTTCAGATTTCTCGCTGTTTTGATTTGATGCAGGCCGAGAAGGTGACAGCTCAGCACCCAGCAGAGAAGGACATGGCGGAACAAAGGAAAGAAGAGAAAATCCGAGAAGCCGTGGTCAACAAGCGACAAGCCATGGACCACAACGCCACGGCCAAGGAGCAGGTCGTGCCGGCCACGCCACGGGCAAGCGGTCTGAACGCCGGACGTCCACCAGACCCGAACCGCCATCCTCGGCGTTCGCGGGTCAGCGGTCACGTGACAGAGGGCGCGTTTCAGTCGCGCCCATCCGGCGCGGAGACCGGCACGGCGAGGCCCGCTCTTGCGGCGCACGATCCTAACGTCGAAGGAACCGAGCCGGCTCTGCGCGGAACCGGAGGCCGTTATACTTGATGGAAGATTAATTAATTGTTAGCGGGGGCTTTTTCAGAATTTGTTTTGTGTTTGAAAAGTTTAGGGTTTTGTTGTGAGTTTGTTTTGATGCTTGTGATCGATTTCATGGTTAAGGTTGTAAATCGCGAGTAAATGGACACCATAATTATGTTTTTTTTTTCTGGAGGTCGTTTTTGTTTTTTGTTTCCTACTTGCGTCCCAGATGACGCGTCTGGTTTTAAGGGGTTGTTTGGTTCGTTTCCTAGATATAGGGAAATGCATTTCCATGTACAAAAACACAAGTTTTGAGTTTTTCAAACTTTTCCAAGAAATGGATTGTTTCGCTTTGGTTCGCACAAAAAATGATGGGAAAATAATGTATTTATTTTTCTTGTGTTTGGTTCGCATGGAAAAAAAAGGAAAAACTCTTGTTGATATTATATTTCCCACTTTTCCTATGTTTGGTTGGTTTTGAAGTTTGTTCGCACAAAAAATGATGGGAAAATAATGTATTTATTTTTCTTGTGTTTGGTTCGCATGGAAAAAAAAGGAAAAACTCTTGTTGATATTATATTTCCCACTTTTCCTATGTTTGGTTGGTTTTGAAGTTAATCATACGAAACCTGAATTAATATGAATCAATTGCAATGAATTACATATTTGATTTGACTTGAAATATACATGTTTCAGATTGAAAAAATCACATGAAACCTGTACTAACTTGTATATTCACAAATTTATGAAGTTGCATGAATTATCCACAAAATCTGTTGAAACATATTAAAACATATAAACAACCTTAAATCGCACAAAACCATGCTTGAAAATAATTCCACAACACAAAACCAAGCTCCACATACGATCAGAACTGCACGAATAGAGCTATGAAAACTAATAATATTATGAACTGTTATAATCCTTTATACAAGATTTTATCTGCATACAAAGTTTCAAAATTAACTGGTTTGGTGAACAACAAGCACCTCAATGAAACAGCGACCAAAGACATCGCCAGATTCACATTGAAAACTGAAACACTCTGTGCTGGAACCTTTGTAAATGGCGTCTTGATAAACTGAACCAAGAACTTCTTTTGACGTTTAGCCCCCCATGTAGGTACAATGAATTCTGCAGATATGAAGATTAACATTGTTGGTAATGAAATAATAGGTTCATTAATGAAACTCCGTTAATGAAATAATAGGTTCAAGTTGAACATTGGCTTACCTGGTGCCAGGAGCAGTCAAATTCCGACCTTTCAGAACAAAGGAGGTTTCCTGTCCACTTACAACAGCAATAGGTGACACATATGTCAGCTCAGGAGCTCTACATGTCTTCTAAGATTTACACAGATGAATTTTCCCTAGATTCCATATACGATGTCAAAAGATAAGCAGGAATCTATGCACAAATTCTATCTGTTTTTAACTCTGTTCTTGCAGGCAGAACACAGGGTGTGCCCACTGGTACACTGCAGCAAAATCACATAAAACAGATATTGTAAGATCTACTATGAATAAAACAGATGCAGTCCAAACAAGTGATTTACTAAAAAAAATGTTCTCGCATAGATTGATAGATCATGACAACTTGCTTTCAGAGAACTCACGAGCAATTAAGCAGCTACATGTGCATTGGCAGTATCTCGTTAGTTAAGGAACATGAGCAAGTGTCAAGTTACAACTCTACTGTGAAGTAATGCATTTCAGCATACAGACATGCAGGTCTTATTTTCTGAACTCATGGAATACTAACCTGGATAAATGTTGTAGGAGATACTGTAATGTTGAGGAAGTTTTCAATGCTCTCGGCAATCTGAAGCAAAGAAAAAGGCAAATCATCACCATACTCAATCGGATTGCAAAATTCAGAATTGAGACGTAATTTGTTGAGAATTATAATCAAAACAATATTTGAAGGTATGCAAACATAATACAGTATGTGATCTCAGGTCAAGCATCATATTTCACCTTGCATAGATTAATGTGCTATCAGTGAGCAATTAAGCAATGCTTCTAGAGGTAGAAATTAATATATGGCCAGAAGCCTGAAAAAGCATCTGTACAAAGAAAACTAGAACAATGGTTTCATCTCTTCACTCTCTTTTGTAATTCTTCAATGTGCCTGATTTGGTTTATTTTATACATTCCAACCTCTTTTAATGTTGTGCAGGAGATACACCCAAATGATTAGGGCGATGCTCTCGGAGACTTGATTTTGTCCTAGCCCAAAAGGAAAAACTCCATAAGCAAAGACATCAGTCTTCTCATTAACTATTCCGTGCATGAAGTACTCTGGCGCCAAGTATCTGGATCATTCAGTACATAAGCAACTTACTAGATCAAACAAAACAATTAGAATACCAGTTGGAGGATATCATACCTGTACTAACTAGCATCAAGACCCTTGTCCCAGACATGACACGCATGCACAAGGCAAGGCATATTGTAACAACGAGCATAGACTTGGCACTTATGTACCGAACCACTTCAAACACCCTTTCAACAATGCCTTCATGAACAACATGAACACCTCTCTTCGCACCATCAAACCAACCTGTGCCCAAACTGAACACAACCAGCAAACCCACAACAGCAAGTACACCAAAAATAGCCAACCAACAAAATCAGGCTACACAACCAGCCAACCAGAGGCAACATGCACACTATATTTGGTGATGAATCGTCAGGATTCATTGCCTCAAAATCATGCAACACTCATAGGCAGCAACACAAGGACCAGGCTTCAAAACTCTGAAATCTCCTTATAACATCCTAGTTGTCTCAAATAAAAGTAAGAGGTATACATCTGCACAAAGAAAAATGGAAATTCATCATAGTGGAATGTACCAACCGCATCAGGAGCATGGCATGTGTGTTCTATTGTATAAACTGCATCAAAAGTGTTGTCTGCATCAAAAATGGAAATTCATACTTCACCTGGACAGTGCACACATGATAGAGTTTCTTTCGTTGAATTAGCTCATAGAATCTCTCGTCAGCGATCATCTTTGATCCTCTCCATAGGGAGCCATATGTCTCATGGTAGTTTTCGAGGAATGTGGTAGTATTGGACATGTGCTCAAGGTGGACTGCTAACCTAATTTCATATCAAGCATGTTGGCAAGTCAAAATATAAACATGGAAATATTTGATATGACTCAGTTTATACAAGCAAAAATATTAAAATGTAGATGAATCAAAAGTACATAAGAGTGTTGCATCATGGACTTCACAACAGATTCCATATCCTATATATACAAAAGTACATAAGAGTAATTGATACCTTAACAATTAAGGTTAAATAAACTATAGATATGAGGGAACTTCAGAGTGCTTTAATTTAACATACAAGTGATATACGATCTCTGGCAAGTGGTAATGACAATGTTTTGACTTTGTCACTTTTCACAACCTTTACTCCAGAAGCTGAAAACTAAAGGGTTGAAAAAGATTTCTTTTGCAATACAAATTAGTATAGTCTGAAGCAAATCATATTTTGTTCTAGTTTTTGTTTGCAAATATCATAATAAAAATAATTGTCTTTCACACGCTATGGTTCAGGGATCATAAGCTGTGTAAGCAAACAAATCATTAGAAGAGTGCTCCTATCAAAATATACACCATGGTTTTCACCTCCTAATATAATTCTACCGACATCTTGTTTAATACATAATCCATTTTGGAACACTGAGCGCGATATTATAATTAACTCAAGGCCAAGGAAAGAGATAGTCAATTTTCTACTAGCCTTATACTATACGTAATCATAGTAGATATACTAATTTAAAGGGTAAATTTCACAAACCCCCACAATAATTTGTGGTGTTTCCCAAAATATTCCTAAGAACATTATTTTTCCCACTAAGCACCTAAAACATGTATTTCAAAGATGCATTATCATATTTGTCATATTCTCTTTGCTAGAATCTAAATTAGCACGAGAAATAAACACTTAATGTAGAAGGATCACAAATACTTTTCAAGCTATAAATTTGGGCTACCAAAAGATTAGGACTGATAAACTTCCCTTCATATTTTAAAGAAGACATACACATTCTTATGATGGAAGAGTAATGCAAATATGATGAAAATAGTGTTGAACAATTGAAATTAGTGATGTTAAGAATAAAGAAAAAAAAGTTGCTGCTAGAGAGGAAGTTTTAGAAGTGGTCAAAGAAGCAAAATAAGAAAGAAAAGTAAAGTGAATTGAGCAAGCATTAGCATGTGCAATCATGAGAAAATATACGTTATGAATCAATTCATCACTGTCGATCTCATCAAATGATAAATAAACGGAAAAGAAATTTGAAGATGAATAACAATTTAAAATCTAAATAACAAAAAAGTGAGAAACATCATTCTACGAAGTATTAGCATGATTTTTAGTATAATGCATGTTTTCCTATCAATGTTGCAGTAATTGAATATTTTCATGCGATGATTGGAATATTTAGTCTGAGGTTGAATTCTTCATCATCTTCGTTTAGTAAGGATTTCCAAACTCACAATGTGATAGACACTTCAAACCATTCCAAAACTCTCCATAACTTTAATCATCATATACCAATCCTTCATTTTCATAAGAAAGACCTAATTGTACCAAAACCTTGCTATTGATTGTAAAAGATGTCTCTCCCCTCTTTGTTTATATTTCTCTTAAATTGTAACTTCATCAATTTTATTTTTCTTTACATTCAGAATTTTAATGAGACCGAGACTAACGAATTGCTCCATATGACTACCAACTTTTTTTCTCATTAATTAATGCAATTCACTTTGCTTCTTTGAATTTCATTGAGCTTTCTCTCCAATAGCAATTTGTTCTCTTTGTTCTTACTCTTACTAATTTGAATATCTTTCATAATAAATGCTAGCATTTTACAAAGCTAATTCCTTTCAACCAAAATAAAACACTCAATCAAAAGTAAAACAAAGCATATTGGGGGGGGGGGATGAATCAAAACCTGAGAACCGACAAGCTCCTCGAATTGCTTAACAAAATCTTCCATCCCTTCATTCTCAAACCCAAATCCTCCCCTCGACGGCGCTGTCCCCGCAGTGGCGGACTCCAACCCCTTCACCGCCTCCCTCGTCTGCCTCCTCAGCTCCTCCAGCGTCGCAGACGCGTGCGATTCTTTCAGCCTAGTCGCCGCAGACACTCTCTGCCTCCGCTCTCTGCTCTCCGCTCTCTGCAACCCGGAACCTAATCCTAACCCTAATCCCTTACCCGTTGGATTTTGACGAGGGCACGAATTCTTTGGCCAAGGGGTTCAATTTCAAGAGGAGATCGACGAGCTCCCTCACATCTCGATCGTAGTTGTTCTCTCGATGATCCTCGGACCTCGCGATCCCATTCTCAGTGACCGCCGCCATTCGAATTTGATCGACAATTTGGTAGCGAGGGCCCGAGAGAGAGAGAGAGAGAGAGAGAGAGAGAGAGAGAGAGAGAGAGAGGCCAATTTCTTCGAATACAGGGACAGATAAGACCGCGGGAGTTTCTGGTGGGAACGATGCGAAGGAGGTAAGTGTAGCTCACCGAAGAAATCAACGAGAAGAAAAAATTCCCACGTGGACATGGTTTTCGTCGATTTCACTCGCTTGAGGAAGGAAATGGTGGAGAGAAAAAAAATCTAGCTGGCGGCTATTTGTTCTTCGATTTCCCTCTTCAGCCCTAACGAAACAAAGCGGGGAAAAAACCAGCGGAAACAAAAAAATCGACGTGGAGGTGAAAAATCTGACGTGGGGGCGAAGAAAAAGATTTCCACAGGGTTTTAAAGCGAACCAAACAGCCCCTAAGAGTAGTTATCTGTTGTGGATTTGGAAAATAAATTAAATTAAATTAAATTACTTTCTGGTCGAAAATTAAATTAAATTCCTTAAACAACTAAAACGTCAAATTTAAAAAAAAAGGATCTTGAGTACTCCTATTATTTATTAAAAGTATTCTTCAACCAGGAGAACTACTCGATCCAAACAATTTTTTTATGAACATTTTGTGTGGAGATCGAGACAGGTAGTTTTTAGTATTATATATTTTGGTTTGGGATATACCTTAACTAATGTAGAACTGTAGAAGGTGGATTTAGGAATTATATTTTAGTTTGGGATATTTTAATTAACGGTTTTTCTATAGAGTTGCCCATGGGCATTCTATAAGAGAGGAGAGAGATAGAGAAAAATGAATGAGAAAATGATCCCAATACAAATCAGGGGACTCTCCTCCTCATTCATATATTTTGTCTGAGAGTCTTGACAAATACTGATCATATAATAATGTACGAATTGACATAAAATAAAACAAGCATTAATCTACATTAGCAATAATATGTTCTTAGTATTACGTCCTAATACCAAGAACATAAGACTTTTCATGACTACTATAACTTCCCATCTCATGTAATACTCAAACAAATGATACATATCAATATTATAACATAATATTTTAAATCACAGCGTCATTTCTAATTTTGGAATTTTTGGTTTATCGTTTGTAAAGTTGCGAGGGTTGTTTATGATTTTTAAAAAATTTTAAGTGGGTAGTTGTAAATTTTTTAGCGGGTCATTTTGTAAAAGTTTCATGAGTTTATTTGTAATTTACAAATTTGTCAAGGTGCTTTATGTAAATTTTTCAATAATGTTTGTAAAAGCTTTCAAAGGGTTGTTTTTGAAAATTTGGTCAAATATGCATGGTCTAATCAAAAGTTTTTTTTATCTTATCTCAATTCTTGAGAATGTTCAAGACTTCAAGGTAATTAAGTAATTAACTCAAAGACGCAATAGATACCGACACGCATTTCATAAAAGCAAACCCTAGTGTTTGCATGTCCACATTATCAATGTGAAAAAAAGGCTAAAGATAGAAAGTTTATTTTATCGGAAAGTGACAACTTAGTTAGCAATGCTAATTCTTCAAATCAAAATTTAAATAACAAAAATTTCTGAAGGATCCAAAATATGAGATCAATAGGGGGGACAAGTGAGGTGTCTCACTCCTATTGGATAATGAGTTGGACATCATTAATGATGGCCAACTCATTTTCCAATAGGAGCGTGACACTTTACTTGTTCTCCCTATTGGTCCTATATTTTGGGTCCCGGTAGCAAAACTCTTTAAATAATAGAGTTAAGAGTCAAGTAGTTATCGCATGGAATTTAGATTTTGATTTCTGAACAAATCTCGCTCGGCGAGGGTTCGGCAGCTAAATAATTGGAGACATTATAATTTAGCAAGGAGCACGTCGAGACAAGAGCGTTCAAAATAATCAAAGAGAAGTATTCGGATAGGTTGTTGGATGGCGGATGGGTACGTATTAAATCATATGAACTTCTTATAAACTTTATTTATCCTCCCCCATACTATGTACCATTCTTTTTTGAGTGTTGCTATGGAGACCCAAAATATGGGATCAATGGAGGGGACAGATGAGGTGTCCCCTCCCTATTGCATAATGAGTTGACCATTTTTTTTTGAATGTTGCTATGAAGACCCAAAATATGGGACCAATGGAGGGGACATGTCCTCTCCCTTGGTCCCATATTTTGGGTTATTAAGTCATTTTTCTTTTTTTCCCCTCTTTTCCTTTGGACATAAAATCAATTTAAAATCGAATCCTTTATTTTAGCCTCTATATTAAGAAATATAATCATTGCATCAATTTGAAATAGAATCCTTTATTTTAGCCTCTATATTAAGAAATATAGTCATTGCATCAATTTGAAATAGAATCCTTTAATTTAGCCTCTATGTTGAGAAATATAATTTCATTACATCTACATGCAAAGCCCTTGTTTCCCTAATGATAGACACATGACTTCATGAGTTAATATGTGTGATTAACAAGGATGGAATGGTGCCATGTCGGAAAGCTGATGCTATTGACATGATTAAGAAGTCTCATACGTGGAATACTAAGAGGCTGTTTGGTTCAAATCCTATAATTCTAGGATGAAAAATTCCCCAAGGACCCAAAATATGGGACCAATAGATGGGACAAGTGAGATGTCCTCATCCTATTGGATAATGAGTTGGCCAACATTAATGATGGCCAACTCATTATCCAATAGGAAGGGGGACATCTCACTTGTCCCCCTATTAGTCTCATATTTTGGGTCCCTGTAGCAAAGCCCTTCTAGGATTTCTAAACTCAAAGGGAATTTTAAATCTATAGGGTTTTTATGCAAATCTTAAATTTTTTATTGAAACAAACAATAATGGAATCCAAAAAACCATGGGCACTCTATAAATTTTAAGTGTTATATTTTCGGTTTTTCTATAGAGTGCCCATGAGTACTCTATAAGAGAGGAGAGAGAATGAGAGAAATAAATTATGCACAAAAATTAATGCAAAACAGGGGGACCCATGAGCTATTCATTTCTCTTTCTCTCTCTCCTCTCTTATAGGCACTCTATAGAAAAACCGAAAATATAACATTTTTTGCTCCAAGAAATTGTAATCCAACCCAAATGCCAAAAAATTTAATGAACCAAATAGCCCCTAAGAGTGCCCCGCTGCTGAAAGAGCGAAAGCAATAGTATAAATTTATAAATATTTCTTTTCCATCTTATTGCACAATTATGGAAATAAGATGGTGTTCGAAAAACCCTTTTGACATTCTTATGAAAACTGTTGCTGCTTTTAAAGGGGTGTTTTTAGAGGTGAGAATGCTCTTAAAAGCAACTTCTGCTTTTTTTTTGGTTTATATACTATACATACCTTTTATCTTTTAACAATAATTGTTAAACACAGTTCTACCAAACACCTTTAACTGTTTTCTAAGCAAATTTTAATATTGCATTACCAAACAGCTATTTTCAATAGCTTATATAAGTTGCTTTTATCAGCTGCTTTTATAAACAACTTATTATTAAGCTCCAACAATACTAGATTGCCTTTAATCGGCTCCGAACAAAAACCATGCACATACAGGAAAATATATTTCTTCATAACCAACTTGGGAAGATGCATGAGAATACAGACAATAAACTTGGCACCAGCGGGAAAAAGTAGGTAGCAATGCGTTTCCTTGAGATGCAGAAGTTATGAGGATCACATTAGGGATAATTCCAAAAAAACTCTTCTTGAAATCAATATCTCAAACAAATACGATGTCTGCACATTTCACAGAAGCTCAATGACGATGAGTCCAGCTTCATCGATGGAAAAATGACAAAATAGTGTAGCCTGCTTGATCAGCCTTTATTGTGGATAGAGCAGCCATCTGTACATAGAAGCATCAAAGATTAGTAAACGTTGAAGGTTAAGGGGAGGGTACAATATTCCGAAAAAACTTGGAGGGCAAAAAAGAAAAAAGAAAAAAAAACTCATAACTAGGTTTAGACTTTATATCAAAGTCTTACACGGATAAGGAGCATAAGTTTGATTTCATGAATTGATATAAACCTAGTTTAGTAAGGCAACATCACGCCCTTTGCTAAACCAATCTCCATATGTAAATGCTAAAACAGAGTCCATCAATAATTTAATAAACAAACATTGAAATCACCTTTCCTAATTTTATATGAATTTGCTTTACAAACAGTTTATAAAAAGCTTAATCCAGTGACCCAGAGTCTTCTAATGCAAAAGAGCTCATGAGTTTAAGCTAGAAGGTCTCATATAATTTTCTCACTTTCTTAAGACTATTATTTCCAGTTCCATGAAACAAGCTCGCTAGTCAATAAGACTGACCTGCTAAAAACGAAACAGATTTCCAAAAGCCAAGGGCTTCTCAGTTCTTGCATGTTGAGTCCGTAGAGGAGGTGCGCAGACATTTATAGGAAGTACCCAATCACCCTTCTCTCTTGTCTCGACGAGGAGAGGATGCTCATACCTGCAGCATCAATTAATCAAAATGTAAGCAAAAAAAATAAGTTGGCACAGAAGGGAGCTTCTAATAATGCCCTTGTCCATGCTAAAAGAATCAACCGAATGACCTTAAACCAACATTGGATGCCACTAGATGAAACTGTACCTATTCAAGTCAACATACTTGGGTGTGGTGAAGAACTCGAATCTCAGGAACCATTGTACTGAAATATATGGAGTAGAGAAGGTCATTGGTCCATCTACAGGAATTGAGAAGAGGAAGCTTGACTGCACCAAGTCAGCAACTACCTCATGGTGATCGCTCTGAACCTGCATACGGTGGACTTAGATTAAAACAATCATTAAATCTATAAAGAAATCTTGAAGTAACGTCATTTGACAAATTAAGAATAGCTTAACAGACATGTCGTTAACACAGATCAAATAAATCAGATGTCTTAAATTATCACAGCATAAAACAGTTATTGCAAGTCTCACACAATAGCAAGTAAAAAAATCACTCTCTTGCTAGCATTAAAAACAACAATAAAAAGAATTGCTTGAACAAGAAAACAAAATACAATATGCCATAATTTGATTGCTACGAACAGAATACCAAAGTACTTTACTACTTTATTCGGTCACCATGCCTTGTAACATCAGGTTGCCTGAAACAAAGCTTGATTTTCCTTTGTTTGTTTTGAGAACACGAGTATTGGAAACTTGTTTAATTAAAGGTTTTCAATTCAAATGAAAGAATCATATGAATCTTAGAAATGACATGTAGTAAATCTAGAAAAATAAAACAAAAAACAACATTTTAATATTGGAATAAGATATTACTAATTGATCATTTTATTTTGCAATTATGAAATTCATGAGAAAGAATTTCCGTATGACACTAGAAGAATGTGGTCAAATTAGTAACAGACGTTTTCCTATTGTTGAAGAGATTTACAACAATTTTCAGTATTTAATTATTAATGAGAAGTGTATCGATTACCATACGAGAAGAAAAATATACACTACTACTTGATGAAATAGGCCATTTAACAGAACAATAATGAAGATCGTCCAAAGTCTTTGGAGTCAGCTACATTAATCCTTTTTGTTCATTAGACAAAGAAGAACATAAATTACTGCAATTGGCAGATAAATATACCTTATACCCATTGCACTGCACAAAAGTTGCACTGCACAAAAGTTATACATACAAACCAATGGCATACACAATATTACTTCAAATAAACCAATTTGAAGGGCCTGTTTGGAAGATTTTTAACATTAGATTATTTTTCCCCATGAAACACTTTACATGAGTACAACAAAGAAATGCCATCAGAAATGAAGATACTGGACTTGCAAATCTTTCTCAGTATTAGCGTGTATAATCTGCGATATACTCCCAGAATAGATATTTGAAGCAAAAGGTAATTTCTAAGGCACTTCAACCAGCAGAAGAATAAAAGGAAAAAGTTTCATATCCACACAAAAAAAGTGATTGGCACTGGAAAATGAAATAGGATAAAATTAGGGCACATTTGGTTTGAATTTGACAGAAGTATTAGAAGTAGGAAATAAATCCAAGAAATCACTTCTAAAATTATGAAGTAGGAAGTAGTGTAAGAATTTTTTTTTTGTTTCACATATTGTTTGAAGTAGTGGAAGTGGTAGTACTTATTCGTCATCTTCTTTTGATGTTTGGATATCCATGAAAAGTTGTTATGAAGTAACTAATAAAGGAAATGTTAATAAAAAAATTATTTCTTTCCTAATTCATGCACATTTCACCTACATCTCAGCTACTTTCGAGTCTTGAGGGACAGAAAAAGATTTAGGAAATAGGGATGACATGTAGGCGCCACATAGGTATTCAAGGAAGTACCGGAAGTAGGTTTGTTAGAGAAACAAACATGTTTTTCTGCTCAGAAGTAGCAGAAGTGGACTCTACTTCCTTTACTTCAGCTACTTCATAGTTACTTCCATGCAAACAAACAAGCCCGTAGGCTAAGAGAGAACAGAACAAAAGGGAACTTAGGGACATCATTGATGTGTTAGTAGATTTACTACATGACAAGTATCAAGCACAGCAAATTTCTCTTTTATAGCCTTGTAAGGCTTCATAGTCTTGCATTACAGGCAAACTCAAAACAGAAGGAACAGTTTGTAAAAATAAATACCTTTTTTATCTTAAGGGAGCTCTTTCGTGAAGGGTGTACAAATCTCTGGTTAATAGTTTCTGATGTCTCCAAGGTTACTGAGACCTGGAAAAAGTTAAGGAACTCACTGATTTAGAACATATATAGTTGAGGATATTGTCGCTATTCTACTTATTTATCTTTTTTTCTGGTTTAGAGAACTTTATTATTACTGATCAATAAGACAGCAACAGTTACCTCAAGGCATCTCCTAACTCCTCCATGAAAAAAAGTGAGTGTACCACCAATCTGTTATAGCAATATTAGGCCCTTAAGTTTTAAGTTCTTGAACATAAAAGTTTGTGTCTGAGCATAAAAATCACATACCATGTCACCAAAATAATAGGTTGAGTCCGAGTTCTTTGGCGAGAACCGTAGCAGAACTTGATCATCAATCCTGATATTATATGACCTGCCTCGAATGAAGCCTTCTGCTGTAGAAAATGCCTGCAGGAAATTAGTTAACTGATGGTATATAATAAAATAAAAGAACCTTAAGTACTCTAAACAGATAATCTGATGAATAATGCAATGACTTGCATGCTGCATCACGAGATCCAGTAGCATGAGGTGACTCCTTGTCTTCCGTAGGAATAGGAGAATTAGGAAACTTCCTTGACTGACTTTGGCTGATGGAAGATTGGGATCGTGCAAGCATCTTTTGAGGTGACACTGTACCTGTTGAGAGTGATGAATTAACCCGTGAAATCTCTTCCATAGAGATTAAACATATAGTATAAAGAATACATCTCATCAAGCAATATTGAATGCAACCACAATGAAAGTAAACAAAATATGGTAATATATACTACAATAGGTCAACAAGAAAATTTACCCACCAAAGCAAAATGCATAGCAAGATTATTAATGTCAAATATGAGCTTCAAATTTGTGAATGAAAAGTATACATACCGCTACCAGCATCATCAACGACCTCAGAGACTGATAATTCATGGAGCGGCGATTATGTAGGGAAATCTTGATTGGCTTAGCACATGAGAATGGAACTCATTGTTAGATAGCCTTGACGTGACTGACTGCAAGGACAAGGACTTCCTGAATGCTAGATCAATATTTTCTCTGGTAGGATTATAGGATGAAACTGATGAGACTTCATCTCTCAAACTATCATAACCTTCTTCACATTCATCGGGACAATCATTGGCTCTAGCCTGCAAGGTAATGTAAATGTTTAGATTCAAATCTGTAATTGAGTTTATCTACTAGTGACGGGCAGAAGTACTCCCATGATAACGTTCGTTCACTTGGACAACAAACTAAGAATATTACTTCAGCTACCATAACAGCAAGTCAAAGGAACAAAAGAAGCTAGCAATATTACCACCCTGTTAGAGCAATTTAGCAAATTATATAGGCTAAGTTACACTAAAATACCTTACGCTTCACCAATTTAGCACTTATATAACCTCAGTTGGTTTTTGGAGCATTTATATACTCTGAGTTGATTAAAATTAGCATTTTAGTACCCTTTGTTATGCAAACGTGAAAATTTTCATGTAACATTCATATACTAGTTTTATAACTTTCTAATTATTAATTTTACTGAACTAACTGTTTAAATCTATCCCAATTTTATTTTTCAAATAGAATCAGAATATGATTAAATTAGAACTTGGGTAGGATTAACAGTAAATTTAACAAATATTAATGACTAAAAAGATCTAAAATTAATATGTGAATGTTATAAGGAACTTTCGTGTGAAATTTTTTACATTTGCATAATAGAAGGTGCTAAAGGGCTCTTTTTAAACAACTTATGGTATATAAATGCTCCGAAAAACAACTGAAAGTGCTAAATGTGTGAAACATAACGTATTTTAGTGCAATTCAGCCAAATATATAAGCAAATACACATACTTAGGTGCCTAATTTCAAGAACAAATAACAGTTACTAGTTACTAGATACTATACATGAGGGGCTATTCACACCCAGGACCAAAACCATACCACATCCAATTTAGTGGAAACATGTCCAACACGCCTAAGACACCATATTTACACTATTATGCATTTTCCCAACACTTACATGAAACCTGCTCAGCTCAACCGGAAACTAAGGCTAATTTTGGCTGTTCCTCGCTTTTTTTTTTTTTGGATAAAAGTTGAACATTAGAAAGGAAGAGAAAAAAAAGAGTTGCTAGTTCATAAAAGGGAATTTTTTGTGAAGAATCATTTGTTAATAAAAAATTTCTTGAAATGAGCTACTTGCATTACGTTGAAATATAGAGACTTTTATACTGATTAGAGAGACTTCTCTTAATCAAAGAATGTCAGTTTGGAGATTGACAGGCGCACTTTGATCTTCAATGTCAGTTTGGAGATTGACAGGCGCACTTTGATCTTCAAACCTTTCCAAACATGTGTATGCACAAATAATTGTTTCCTAATTCAAAACCGTGCTGGGTGATGGTCATAAAACACGCCACAATGTCGTGGAAGAGAGGAAAATTTAAGGGTTTAACCCTTTCCTGTTGATAACTTACACAGTTAACTGGTTAAATGTGAAAATGCAACTTACCCATTCAGAATCTCCATCTTTCTCTTTCCAAAATATATCCATTTGGGCATTGGTAGCAGCCAAACTCCCTGGAAAAAAACCAGATAATGCATAAATACTAGAACTCAGGGCTAGATTTGAAATGGAACTCATGACACGTTTATCTGATTTTATTAGACAGGAAATCTGGTCTGCGTCAGAAAATGTAGACCGTCTTAGTTGCTTGGTCTAGTTACTTAATTAAGTCAGGTAGACTTTGGATCCAATAAACAAATATTAATATATGCTTTAAAATACATTTAGCTTAGCAATAAACACAAAAATATAGCTTAATAGTAAACAGGGAGATAAGCTCTTTTAATGAATATTGAATGTACATCTACATATTAGAGACTGGAAACATTGGGGTAGCTTGGGTGTCAGCACCACATCCAAGTATTTAACTGTTTTCTTCATCTCTAAGATAAACCTCGTCCTAGTGAGTGTTGACATGAGGTTACTAGTTGGCCATAGAATTCCAGCACTCCTTAGGTAATAGATATTTCACAATATGGAGTTTCCCTCCATAACTAAACCCCTTTTTGACTGGGAAAGGCTTAGATTATGCGACACATAAACAGCACCAATCTTATCTGTTCAATTTATAAACAGTGATAAGCTTGATATACCAAGTAATAAGTTGGATTACCTGCAGAGGTTCACTCAGATGAATACCCTACAAAAGAGTTAGTTAGGTTATATGTGTTCCTATACGTAATTGCCCCGTAGATTATTAAAAAGAATGATGAGAAAGAAATCAGGTGTAATATAAGAGTATGAGACACACGAGGTTTTAATATTTCAAACATTCATTTTCTTCCACTTCCCTTGTATACTAATACGATGCCCTTTATAAACAGTTACGAAAATGGTGGAACATGTAGGCAAACCCCTCATATAAAGTAAACGCCTAAAAGATTACATATCTCAGGAAACTGAATCTCCAGAGAGCAGAAATCAATTACACATAATCTGGTACAGGGGAATGAGTGGGAATGGAATGCCAATTCCCACTTCTCATTCGTTCATACCAAACACGACATGGTTTTGGAAGTTAGAAATCTCATTCCCATTTCCCACTTCTCATCAATTCCTACATTATGTGGAAATGGGCATTCCCACTTAAGTGGGAATAAAAAAATACATAACTTTCAAATATGCTCATTCCCGCTTCATTCTTTGATTGCACCCAAATGTGAGAATTGAAATGAGCATTCCATTCCAACGGTTACTCCATTTCCATTCCTTGTTTCACCCCACTCTCATGTCACTTGGTTCCCATGTACCTAACGAGGTGTTATAGAAATATAAAATGAGGATTACGCCCCTGAACTCCTTAACAATTGAGAGCATTCAAAACCTATGATTCATAAGAAAACAAATTATAAAACAATTACAGACTTAACATAACCATAATTAGGTGTTACAAAGATGATAGATGTATCTTCTCCTGCATCCTGTGGCAATTCCTGATAGGCTTTTACAATAGGTTAGCCGTTTTATTTCCAATGAGTTCTTTTTTCTGTTCAAAAAAGCCTATTTCACGCTAGCAGTCTAGATATGCTTAATTATAGAGCTGTTTTTTTATTACTAGATACAATCAAGCACTGGGAAAACCAAGCAGGTAAGCTTCCTAAGTATATGAAGTTCAAAATCACGAGATTATGCTTCTCCTAGTACTTATGCCAATATAAAGCAGAAAGAAATAAAGCAAGATAGATAAAGCCAACCAGAATAGATTGGTAGGATTTTCAATAGATGGTAAGTAAATCGCTCTGCTTATGACAAAACACCTTTGCTGCATGGATATGGACACAGATATGTGATTTGAAATGGCACGGACAAGTGAAGGGGCAAATTTGCGAAGTCACAACATGGATGGATGTGTGCAACATAACTCTAATAATATAATTCTTAGTACAACAAAATTAATAAGGCATGCAAATGAATTCAAATTCATTTAGTTTCTCAAGGGAGGGGTCTGTCTACTCTAACCACTAGAGTGCATCTCTTGTTCAGTTAGCATGGCATTAGAACTCAAGAAAGGGGCAGTAAAGACATACGTCTGGTTCATTCTTTTAATTACTATTTATTTGTCATTCTGAAAAAAGTATTGCTTTGTAAACCAATTCAAATTTCCCAGATCTGATATGAAAAGTAGATTATGCCTACATTCTAACCTTAATAAAAATAGGTTTTAGATTGTAAACAACTAGGTCTGACATGCTGACCATCCCGTGTTCATGTAGGGTAGGCATTCGACACATGATGGGCACGATACAGAAGCCATGATGAAGTGTTTGTGCTTTATAGGAAAAAAAACCTAAATGAATCTCCACAGGACCACATCAACACATCAGTTGTGATTCAGCTTATATCACAACAGTAAGGGGTCAAGCACAAGCATCCAATAAAATGTCCGATCACCTGACCTTCATTTAGCAAGTTGCTGTCTTTTTGCATGACCCATATTCGCAGTGGTACTCGGGCTTCCTGCAAAAACCAGAGTCATAAGATTGTTATAGCAAAGCAAGATTCTCAATAAATATCCTGTCATAGAAACAGTTCATTAAATAACCAGAATGATATTGCAAAGGGCAGTTTAGCATCACGCACACCAGGATAAAAAATCTAAATAAACTGAGCAGCTAACCTATACCAAATTTATAACTCCAAAGACAAGTATCGAATTCTCAAAATAACACATGCTACTGTGGTTCACTTATCTCATTAACATATGTGATACTTCTTACATCATTTTTATAATGCAGCATTGTGATCTCAAAAAGAGTGAAAAAGAAAAGATAAGAATAGTTCTATGCCGGAAAACACATGATTATATCTCCCACTTTCAGCAGTCACCAAACAATCACAAAAACGGATCTAACTTTACTCGCTAATTTATTGTGAGATTAACTGAATAATGAATATTAACAGTTCCTAGTACTGTAAATGGATCAAAAAACGTTCCAACTCAAGTTAAGGTTGACATGAGAATCACCTAAAACTAGTGAAGATTAGTACATTGAGTGAGAGTTGTAACAACATTCTTTTCTTGATTCCAGACGTGGAGTGGATTCTGGTATCACAAATGTGTCTGTCACCTGATGATATCATGATAGGGACATCAGCAACCGAGTCACGTTAATCAAGAAGAAAATGAGTTACCGTAGCACGTCAGATGCAAAGGTAAGGCAACAGTTCTTATCGCTAATAACTAGAAACTTTTGTAGTTAAGTTGGCTGGATTCTTTTAGATTGCTTCTTATTTTAATTAGGAAAATGTTGGAGTTCTTTAAGAGAGTGCTTAATCTAGAAACTTGAATAACTTTTGTGTTATTTGTTGACATTTAGGAGGGGTTTGTTCGCATGCAAGTGAAAGATAAAAGTGAGAAAGTGACTTGCTTTTTAACATTTTACGTGTTTGTTTAGATGCAAGTGGCTATGAAAGAGAAATGCAAGAAACTTTCTACATAGGATTCTTCCTCAAAAAAAGTGGTGAACTCACATGAAAGTAAAAAATGGGAACCACTTTTAATTAAATGATTTTAACAATATTTATTTATTAATTCTATTATGCCTCATCATATTCACATTGCACTTTCAATCATAATTTTATTTTTCAAACAAACACTATATTTCACTGTCACATTGACGTGGATATGAAAATTATTTGCAAAAAAAAAGTTACTTACATATTTTCAATTCACTTTTGAAATGCCAACCCATTTAGCGTAATGGGAGAACCTTTTCCTATTTTATCCCTTCCACTGCACTATATCTACGAATTTGTGGTGATGATTAAGGGTAATAATTTTATACTATAACATGCCAACATAAACTACATGACAACTAGAAGATTCCATCTATGTTAGGGTTTTAGTTTCTTAAGGATTTATTTTGTTTTAATTGAGATGAGTAGGTTAGAATACTTATTTAGGAATTGTTATTTGGTTTTATCAATTACTTAGGATTTTATTTGTTATTATGATTTTGTTTTACTCCTGTAAATGTGACTATACTTCATTTTAGGAAAGGAGAGAAGAATGGTGAAACCTCAGTTTAAGTGAGATACCTTGCATGTGACTTGCAGCACGTATTATTAGTCAACTGATTTGTATGGCATGTGAATTCCTCGAGCGCGAGTCCTGTACCTTTTCTTTATTAAATTTACAATTTAAATATTTGTATTTTTTGTTGTACGTTCATTTTTTTCTATGTCCAAATATTTCTCCACAACAAATCTTCATCATTACAATCCCCATCAATAAAAGTTGCATTATGATGAACTACATGAAAGTAACATGTTATAAAGAAAATTTGTGCTCTACAATGCCACACACGCAATATGAGTATGAATGAGAAAGAATACAAGATAACGCATACAGGAATGTGCTGGATCGGAAAATAAATCAGAATAACCTACATATTTGAAAATAGTATAATACAAACACAATCCATGCCAATGAAGTAGTCGTTAAGAACCTCAGGAACTGCGAAGGAAGTTAGCAAACTAACCAGCTGAATGAAATCATCTAAACACCCCTTATCGCTATGACCGTTCTCCAATACAAGCCATCGTCCACACAATGTACTTGTAATATAATAGATATAGCGAATGCTGGTACCCTTGTAAGATGGCGGTAAAATCTCTGGCAGCTCTCCTCGCACTATATCTGCATGGATCGTCTACACTGTTATGCTTAAAGAATGTACAAAAAAATATATTAAAAAAAAGATACTTCAGTTCTTCAAAGTCAGCAAATTTTACAATAAATTATAAACTTTCCTTCCGCTGCACAAAATGCAAGCCAGATCTAAAAATTATCCAAAACACCAGCAAAAATAGTTTTGAATGTTACTTTCTCCTGGAATGTCTGTACACTGTAGATAGTCTGAGTGTTGAAATTAATTCTAAGGGAAACCAGAGACTCGATGTAGAGCTCTGTTGATCTCTTGTATTTATACTAAGAGCAAATAAACATATGTTACATATTATTAGGAATATGCTAAGCATATTCTTAGCATATTCCTTATTCTCTCAATCACATCCCTAATGTCTCTCAACCACATATTCCTAATATATTATTCCTAATATAACTATACCATCATAGATCTCCATAATATATTCATTAACACTGAGCAAAGTCTCTAAGTTCACCCTAACAAGTCTATTGTTTGTAGGATAAAACACATTCAGATTCCTCCCTATCAATCCAAATGTCATGTGCTAAAGGATCACTGTAACATCTTATTGCTTGTTAAATAGACAGGTCACTTTGTTTCCTCAAACTACTGGTGCATCAACAACTTTACAAATCACCAGGCAAGTTTTCCAAAAAAGCAAAAAAAACAATTACATATTCCACCTAAATAGGCAGCTAAAAAGGTTAAATCGCTGGTAGCTTTCCTCCAATATTGAATGAGCCAATACTTCTACAAAGCACAATAGAGAACTGTCTGGACTCTGGACTCTGGACTCCGGACTCTGGCATAAGAAAGAATCAGTCCTGGAATCTGGTAGCAAGTGGGAATGCCTCTAAATATGTAATAGTTTTTTTTAACAGATCATGGGAAGTGATTAAACAGATATCCTTTAATTTTGTGTATGCAGCTAAAAGAAAGGTTTCATGGAAAAAATTTGCAGCTGAAGATGTACATAAAACAAGCAGAGGAACACTTCAAGGATCTGAAGTGAAAGAAGAAAGCAAACGAGTTGGGAACTTGGCATACAAGGGAGATCAACCTTAAAAACATCCTGTACCTAGGCATGCGACCTGCGAACTTAATAGTTATATTATAAGTAATCAAATTATAGCATCCTGTAACTGTCCTTTAATATAGTGCATCAATGTGCTCACCCAGAATAATTTTCAATTGCAACGATAAATAACTAAAGCTCAGGAGAGAAATGAACATTCTGAGAGATCCGAAGGAGTTGTGTTTTAAAGCATGGAAACTTCAAGCATGAGATAAGTATATGGTTTCAATTCTAGGTAAACACCTAAAAGATAATGAGCGCACTTACATGTTTTGGTACACCCAGAAGAAACTATCACCTTTGAAATTATAGACGGCGTTGTACAATGTAAAAATAAATGCTCCCCTGCACATTTTAACAGAATGAAAACTATGAATTTCATGAGTTAAAAATATCGGGTCAAGTATACAATGATAAGAAGAAAAAGGGACTTGCTCTCTGCATCAGGTGCTACATCATTTAAGAAAGTAATATGCAGTAACAACAACAAGGAGTATATACATATAAATTATTCCAATAAACAACAAATGTACCATCCAGTTGTTAAACAAGCAGTAGATACAATTAAGAAATATTTGATTAAAATTATGAAGAAAATTATGATTTTTTATATAACTAAGAAGAGCTAGATAACATGCTTCCACAGTAGTAGTTAGTCTCCGTGGCTCCCACTCAGCAACCCCAACTCCTCCAGAAAAGAAATAAATAAGGAAAAGCAAAAGAGAAACGGAAAGGAAGAGGATAGAGAGAGGGTGAAGGAGGGAGGTAGAAATACACACATAGAGATACATACATACATGTCATACCTTTTATTAACTAAACTCCTCTCACATGTATAAGGTTATAAGCTATCCTAAATGTTGTTCATTCCATAGATGTCGGGAAGGTTGGATGCTATAGCAGACCATGATCCGGGTTCAATCGTCACGGAACGTGGTATACTAGCGAATTGGGTCGCCTACCCAGCGACCTGATTTAGAATTTAAATTAGTTAATATTTTGAAAAAAACAACCATTTTTCCAGAAAATTAAACAACAAAACACATACCTCAAATTGCAATTTGAGAATTCTTTTACCATTATCGATCCTTGAACTTGACTCTTGCAGAAATTATTTGTACATTAAAGCACTCAAATTCCTACATTTAAAAACCGAACCCAAAGCATACCACATTCCCTAGGGTATCATATAAGCATTACCCTCTTGTATTCGATTCCAAATAAGTGGCGTACCATGCTCCCCTTCCCGTTTCATGAACCGAAACGAACCCCTTCCCATTCCATGAACCGAAACGAACCAGGTTTCATGTAACTATGGTTCATTCCTAATGGTTGAACATTCTCTTGTTTTTACCCCGTCTATAGGCCAAAACATGCGAAAGATACTATGAGAAGTTCTTATTCCATTTAAGGTGGAAAAGTCACTTAGGTACTGAGGGGAATTGCCTCTCTAGCCTTTTGAGCAGGAAACTACCTATATATGTAAATGATAATAAACTTTGCATAGATTATGATATGTGATTACTGAATCTATTATTAGTGCATTAGTGAGAAAAGTAAAATGTTCTGTGATGCCCTGCTGATTATTATTTCCCATAGATAAGTGTTATTAACACTTGGGAACTATTTTGACATGATATATGAGAAACCTTTCAAATTTCTGTGATTGAAATGGCATAGAAAAGCCACAAACACAGCATATTTCCCCAGAAGGATCAAAACTTTATCCTCTTAACATGTTAATATAGTATTTGCTGACATATATTTAACGCCTTATAAATTGACAAACATTCAGAATCACAATAAATGACCAGTTCATTGGAAACCAATTCTATGGTCAAGGACAAATTTGTGAACAACAGTAGGCAAAAAAGGTCTTAAGATTTTCATCCAGAGACTTTTTTTTTAATTTAACTGATATAAATAATAATAACAATAATAATAATAATAAAGAGGAAAGAAGCACCTCTCCGTTGTTTTGATCCCGGCAATGGCTTTTGTGTAGCAAACCACTGAGGATCCAACTTCTCAATGCCTTTAACTTCAAAGGAAAGGCTATCAACCAGAAAAGAACAGATCCCATTTTCCAGTTGCCCTTCACTCCTCGGATTACCGATCTCTATCGTCACATCAACAGGATCCCCAGGCCTATAAACCTCTTTGTCCGTCTGAATCTTAAACGAAGGAGAAACATCACGTTTTGGAGCAGCATCAGCCTTCTTCTCCTCGAACAACCCGCCTCTAAAGAAGGAGAAACCCTGAGCAAGCTTCAATGACATCCTTTTGATGTCCAGTGCCCATCCAAGTGCATCAACTACTTGTGAAAATTACCGCATACGTCACCATAATTGATAATTTATCGAGATAAGCCCTGTGATGGGAATGCTCGAAACCATAAATCGTTATGTAAACAAAACAGAATCTTTATTAGACCTAAGGCGATTACACATTCATGAAAATTTTAAATCGCCTAGTTAGCGAATTCGGATCACGGATCAGAGGATTCCTTGGGATTGAATCGATTTCGAACGTGAGATCCAGATAATTTCGGGGTATAACAGAGATCTAGCTCGAGGAGAGAGAAAGAGACCGGATCAAAAGAAAGCCTAGGTTCAGGTTTTAGAGAGAGAAACAATGCGGTCGCGAGTTACCTTGGGTCTTTGAGCCCTCGGCCTTCGTCTTCGTCCTTCGAGATTGATGGTAGATCCAATGGTTGCTGGTTTTTTTTCTCCCTCTAATTTTGGAGGTAATTTTTCAGTGATTGTGAAAGAGAAGAGAAGCCAGAAGTGGTTTTATTTTTTCAATAATAAAAGGTAAAAACGCCGATGTTGAGCTCGGAATTCGATTACGGTCACCCACCGGTGGGACAACGTGGGTTGCGTTTTTCGATATAAGTCCAATTACTGACATAAATTATTGAAATTTCTATAAGGACCCTCTGCGCTTATTTCTAGCTATTGCTAGTTGCTACTCTTAGGGACTGTTTGGTTGTTGTTGGTAAAGTTGTGTATTTATGACACAATTTGAAAAGTTGTTGTCCACCTCATCAATTTCACTTTTATACTTTTCTTTATTTGTTTTTGATTTCATTGAAATCATAAAACACTTGTTTGGTTTGCAAAATGAAACTTTAATTGTTTGTTTGGAAAGTGTAAAAAGTGGTCCCTACTCAAATGATCATATTGGTTGGAATTATTTTTTATTATTTTTTCCTAACTTCAATGTTAGCTTTCTCATAAAATCATGTCTTTTTTCCATGAAATCACTTTACAAGCCACATCAGCATATGAAATCACTTTACACTATTTTTACAACTACAACAAACAATCGAAAGTGGTGAAAGCTGACATTGGGACCCACTTTTTTACACTTTACATCCTTTTACATGGTAAAAACATACAACCAAACAGCCCCTTAACTTGACGAGGGACAAATTCGAAACAAATTTATAAGAATTTGCGTAGTAATGCCGATTTCAATGATCTGAGGGACTAAGGGGCTGTTTGGTTGTTGTTGGTAAAGTTGTGTATTTATGACACAACTTGGAAAGTTGTTGTCCACCTCATCAAATTTACTTTTATATTTTTCTTTGTTTGTTTTTTATTCCATTGGAATCATAAATTGCTTGTTTGGTTTGTAAATGTAACTTTAATTGTTTGTTTGGAAAGTGTAAAAAGTGGTCCCTACTCAAATGATCATATTTATTAGAATTATTTTTTATTATTTTTTCCTGACTTCAATGTCAGCTTTCTCCTAAAATCATGTCTTTTTTTTTATGAAATCACTTTACAAGCCACATCAGCATATAAAATCACTTTACACTATTTTCACAACTACAAACAAACAACTGAAAGTGATGAAAGCTGACATTGGGACCCACTTTTTTACACTTTCCATCCTTTTATATGGTAAAAACATACAACCAAACAGCCCCTAACTCAGAAAACTTGTAAAAATAATAGGACCTGGGAGCAATTCCAATGTTTTTAAAGACTAACTCAAAATTTAAGCCTCCTATTTCGTGCAAAAGTAGTTTGATACGCGTAACAAAAGAGCTTCCAGCAATTTACACATATGATTTCCTCGCTAAATATTTGTCTCAATGTCATCGATTGACGTTTGAACCTTCGCAATTGGAACCATGAGGAGTGCGTTATATTAAGTCATTGAAGTCTATCCGTGATTTGTTTTCTTTGTGTCCTTGTAAATCTAGAAATTGATCCGGAAAATAAAAAATAACTTAAATGCACAGTCGAAGATATAATTTAAGTCTTTGGTATTAGTCCCTTAAACCATTCATATTTTGAAAGTAGTCCCCAAATCGTTGAAATTAGAAGAAATTTTCAAAACAGCCTCAAATCATGTTTTAATTTTCAAAACCGACCCATTTTTTTATTACCAAAATCGACCTATATTTTGAAAGCAACCCCGACTGTTTAGGAGGTTGTTAAACCCCCAATTAGAAATCTTAAATCCGATTTTTTATGCCCTAAATAGTCGGAGTTGGCAATCCCGAATAATTAGGAAATGAGATTAAGCTGACGTGACAAAAAGTGAGTCGATTTTGGTAATAAAAAAAGGGAAAAATATTTCTAGGCCCCAAAAAAAATTGGATATGAGTAGCCCCCTGTATTTTTTTTTGGTGTGACAAAGCCCCCAAAACTCAACTTAATAATAATTCAGCCTTTTTTCATTTCCAAGACAACTTTAAGAGAAAAGTTGAGGCGATAAGACCAAAATACCCTTTTTTACCCGTTCCCCCCGATATTGTCCGCCTTCTCTCTCTCTCTCTCTCTTCTCTCTCTCTCTCTCTATCTTCTTCACCGCAAACCTCCATTAGCTTGCGAACCCATTTTCAAAACCCTGGTTTCACTCAAGCAACAGACTGAAATCTATTTTGAAAATGCCCCAAAAAAATTGATCATAAGCCTCATAACTATCACCATACATATCCTCCTGCGCTCTTTCTTTGCCCCACCATATCTTACTGTATTCAAGTCTCAATCCATATCGAGTGAGGAACTCCTTTTGCACATCAATTGGTCGAATTTCAGGTCGTACCTTTAATATCGGTCGCAATTGGGCTGCTATGAATTTACGAGATGCCCGTGATTACCCTGACAAGTTAGCATGTTGTCCACAACTGTGTTCATTCACAAACCTTTTGATTTCAAATCTTTTACCATACTTAACAGGAGATGCAAAGAGCATCCAAGGGCATCCATATGTCTCCTTATATCGACAACATACTCGGATACGTTTGGGTTCATTCTTTACAAATTCATAGTCAAATTTTTTCGCCATGGAATAGTACTGCAAAGCTAGTCTCAATTCGTTTACAGTCTCAAATTGTTGCCCCTTTTCAGTTAATGCTGTGTGCCACCATTGAGGAATGCTGGAAGTGTTGTTGAGAATATCATCAGCTCTCATTACAACCTCACCAGACGGGAAATCATTTTGGATTCTCTCTGAATTGGATGCATTTCCTGGAGGAGGACGACTATATTCTACATTCAAAGAGGCATCACTACTGCACAAATTAATCAACCAGTGAGATATCATGCACAATATGTTATATTATCTTCTGATAATTTAAGTTAACAGCAGTAGGACCAAAGGTAACATAGTACAACAAAGTTAACTAACTGGGTGTAAAATTAACCATTTTTCGTAAACCTTAACATAGTACAACAAAAGTTAACTGACTGGGTGTAAAATTAACCATGTTCCCACGACAATTAACATGTTCATGTAAAGGTTAACATATCTCTTGGAAAATTAACCTATAAGATGAAGAGTTAACATCTAACCATCAGAGATGACAACTATTTTTTCCCAAGTTAGCATCGAAACCTGAAATCACAATTGGCTTATCATCACACATAGACCTGTTCCTGACAGAGTTCATTGTTTACTTACAAATCAATAATAACTTACTTTGAGGGATTTAATGCCCATAAGGGATGGTTGAAAGTTGAAGAAAAAAAATAACAATGTTTACATCACACAAAACCCAATGTTATAAAGAGTTCATTAATTACTTACATTTCCCTAATCTGATTTTTCCTTGAAGTGGAACACTCTACATTAACAGCAGCTTGCATGTGAATCTCCGTACAACCAATATTTCGATTGTGATCCAACATGCACTTCAAATCATCATCGTTGTCAACTGAAAAACTGAGGTTGGGGTGCCTCTCAGATTTAAATATAAAGGATAAAGCTTCTTTAGGTACTTTCAATCTTTCAGACACATCAAATTGGAGTTCATAAAAACTTGTTGTCGAACTTAGCTTCACGAATATGTCATTCTCGCCTAAAGACACCATGCAAATCAAGTCATTGGCGGCCATTAGGGGTGGTTGAAAGTTATGAGGACAGTTATGAAGGCAATTATGAGGAGTTGAGTGTTAGACCCTAGAGGGGGGGTGATTAGGGTCTTATGCTAATCTAATCCCAATTAATAGCAATTAAAATTATGTTGATCAATATGTTCTTACAAGAGATAGATATGAACAATAAGAACAATAAGAATATGCACAAATAAAATATGAGACAAGCAAAACACAAACACACGATATGTTTACGAGGTTCGGTCCCCACGACCTACGTCCCCGCTCCTCACCTCGAGGAGATATCCACTATCACAATCCGGTTTGGAAGCCGGAACTTCTACACACTCGGTTTACAAGTTCACCGAAAACTCTCACACTACACAATCACTCAACAATCACACTTTACACACTAAGTGTAGGAATCTAGCCCGTGTCCTCCTCCTCAAGTGCTCGATTACAACCTCTCCCTAGGTTCGTCAATCGACGCCACTCCTATTGGATTTGACCCCGTCTCTCTCCTCACACTTCTCTCGGTGTACAAGTGTATTACAAATGATTCTCACAAATAAAAGTTAAATACAATGATTTGTTTTCAATTAACAAGTGAGAACACAATGAAGCTCACACTCACTAAATCCCACACCACAACCCACAATATAATATGAGAATATAAAGCTTAATAAGTGTGTGTGATAATAGTGAATGTAACTCAATAAATATAACTCGACCGAATGGATATTTCGGTCGACCGACGTAAATTCCGGTCGACCGGAAAATTGTTAAAGCAAATCTAAGAAAGCAGACTACCGTCGGTCGACCGATACGGTCGACCGAAATCTGATATGGGTAAATTGACAGGTTTTGGGTCAGTTTTGAAAATTCGTCAAAATTATCAATTCATATCCAAAAATAGTGAAACTTTGGGGAAAGTTTATAAATGATGAAATGAACATGTTTGAAAAGGAATTTTTGGAAAAACGAATTTCGTTTGTGAAAACTACCTGTTTTTGAAAAATGATTAGAAAACCTGTATTTTTATGAAAGTGAAAGTTTGATATAGGACTTGTAAATATTCATATATATATATTGTGCATATATTATATGTATATAATCAGGTATGAGAGAGCTGTAAATAAGAGATAAAGATATTTTAACAACGTTTCATGAAAAATCATTTATATGATAGGAAACGGCAAAAATCGTGTTGAGTGTATATATATTGAGCTTAGATATAATCATACTATATATGTAAGTAAACTAAACATATACCTAGGTAGATCCACGCAAATGAACTTGAATCTTTAACGCTTGATTTACGTGTGTTGAAATACCTGAAAAGAGAACATAAACACAAAACACTGGGAAGCTTATTAGTAATAAATTGTTTGTCAAATCATCATCAAAACTATAGGGTCAACAATCTCCCCCTTTTTGATGATGGCAAACAATTTATACATGAATGTAAGGTGTATACTGATAATCCACATATAAGTCAAAACAGGAATCAATCATACATGACCATATGTATAAAACACTTATAAAACACACATGATCATATATAACAGAATCACACATGATCATATATAACAGAATTAATTTGTAAGCTATATATGTGGTATTTTTCTCCCCCTTTGACAACATCAAAAAGAGGGGGAAAAAAAATGGGAGCAATGCTCCCCCTGCTTATAAGCTCAGATAAAGAAAAGGCTCCCCCTGTCAAATGGACTAAATGACATCCGCTGATCATATATACAAGAGCTAAGCCAACAACTATTCAACATGTGTATCAATGATACAAGTAACTCAATTTCTGTAAGCAAAACATGATTATTTCTTAATCATGTATTGATCATAACAAAGAAACTAGCATAGGCAATTATAAAACATCATCTAAGCAGCATAGATGTGCATAAATATACTAAAACCTTAAACAAAACAAAAACTCATTATAAGCAATTTATTTACCACACATCAAGTCATGAATGTGCATTGATTCATACAAGAATTAAACTAAACACAATGAGCCACAAAAAATCATATAAGCATTAGAATCACTATAGTTTTGCATAAAACATAGATTCGTTCACAAGATAGCAAATCCTACATAAGAAGTCACACAAAACTATATATAATTTGTTCCACAAAGCATCATAGAGTTATTACACTCAAAATAAAACATAGTTATCAAGTTTTACAACCCAGAAGAAAGCAAATAAAGCATCACATGACGAAGCTCAAATCAGTCATCACCTCCACCAACATCATCACTACTATCACCACTACCATCATCATCACGATCACCATCACCATCACCACCACCACCACCACCTGATCCGCTAGCAGAATCCTCACTATCAGACTCAGAATTAGAAGGGATCCCGAGAGACTGACGCTGGTATGAAAGAATAGTCCTAACATCCTTCTGAATAGATGTGACACGAGTCTCAAGGCGATCAAGCTCAGAAGTGGAAGAAGTGGAAGAGGTCGAGGCTCTAGAACGGGAGTGAGAAGATGGTGTGGAGTCAAGAGATATATGCATTCTGGAAAGGGAAACTTTATCAAAGAAATCTCTTGTGGATTCAACCTTAGGTTCATTTTGTAAGGTCAACATCTCATTTGAAATGTTGAAAAATGAGAGTGAAAAAGGAACCAAATGGTAGAAACTTGGTGTGTTTAGATGCCATGTTATTTATAAAGATGGTAGCCCAATCAACTTTGATTTCAGCAAAGATGGCATAAACAGCATTAATCTTGTCAGAGGCGAAGTGATCAAAACTCCCAGTCTTGGGAATCAAATTATGAGCAATAATTCTAGCAATTAGTTTGGCAATGGGATTAAGGGAATTATTGTTCATAGGATATGAGCATCCAGGTGAAAACATTTGATGATTGACTGAAGGATCACTAAGCTCAATAGACCTAAGTTCAACGTCACTTGTTGGGATTTGAAGAATCCCCGCAAGTTCGTTGGCAGTAAAAGCTATTGCCACATTTTTAAACCATCAGCAGAAGATGTTGTGGACAGGTTCGCATAAAACAGATAAACAAGAAATGGATAATAAGGAACTTTAAGACTTTCATCAAACAATTTATCCAACCCAACATTATGAAGAAGAGACTGAGTTTTATAGATGGCCAGTTCAGGATACTTGATATACCTAGTTGGGAGAATTTTCAGTTTACACAGTTCTCTATATTTCCTAACAAGAGGTTTAAACAACATATAATCCTCATAATGTGAGGCTTTTACAGATGAGGAACTGGATTCGGGTTTAGACCTCTTTTTAGGGGGCTTGGGAGGCATGATAAGTTAGGGCTTAGATAAGATAGAGGAAATTTATCAAAATCCGGTAAATACAAACAAAAAATTAACAAATTTCCCTAAAATATAAACCCTAGAAAAGAAGAGCAAGTACTAGCACAAAACACTGGGAAGCTTATTAGTAATAAATTGTTTGTCAAATCATCATCAAAACTATAGGGTCAACATTGAGGAGTAATTAAGGGGATTTTAGGTGCAAAAGGGTTGTTGACAGTTAAAGAAAAAAACCCTAATTTCATTAATGAGAGAGTGAGAGATAAAACTAACCAATTTATAACAAAGGATGAGAAGCAGACCGTAAAATGGCGGGAGCCCGCGCTTTCCCCCCCGCTTTCCCCCCGTCGCTTCGCCATAAATGCGTTGGGAGAGATCAGGGAAAAAGAGAACCCATTCAGCCGGTTTCCTGTGAGAGGGATGAGGGCATTTTAGGCAGGTAGCAACAAAATACACCCACTAGATGTATACGTATGGGCTTTTAGGTCTGGACCACAATTTTCACATTTTTTGGGGGCTGAAGGCTAAGGAAGATAATTGGTGGGGCTGGGCCGCATCCAAATTTTTTTTTTGGGGGCCTTGAAACATTTTTCCCTAAAAAAAATGGGTCGTTTTTAAAAATTAAAGCATGATTTGAGACTGTTTTAGAAATTTCTTCTTGAAATTATAATTGAAATCAGACTTGTAGGACCTAATCATATTTTCGATGATGAGGGCCTTTCTATCTAAATGGACAAATTTTTAAAACCAACCAATTTGATAAACTAATTGCAAAAAAAGACCTATTTCAGTTTTATTTGCAAAAACCGACCTGGTTTCAGCCTCAGCGCTGAAACCAGGTCGGTTTTTAAAAAAAAGTTTCCGAAACTTCACGGGAGTTCAACTCCCGTGAAGTTTTGTTATGAGAAAAAACTTCACGGGAGTTGAACTCCCGTGAAGTTTCGTAAAGTTTTTTAGAAAAACCGACCTGGTTTCAGCGACAGTGCTGAAACCAGGTCGGTTTCACTAAATAAATCTGAAACGAATCGTTTTTTGCAATTAGTTTATCAAATGGGTTGGTTTTGAAAATTTGTCCCTATCTAAATATTAAAGATTTGCGGTACCAGTATCGAGGACACCCAAGCTTCTTTAGCAATAGACTAGGAGCTAAGCAGGCCCCACCGCCCTTTATTAGGTCCATGGCCAGCCCAGCTATTCCATTGACCCAACAACCGCATAAATAATAAAGGAAGCAAACGTAGCCGGTGAACGCGGTGACCGGAACTCGAATTCAGGGGTCCGGTCCTCCGCCGCGAAGCCATGATCCTCGTCGACGGAGTTCCCGTCACCGCCTCCTCCTCTCAGCCTCAGGTGCCCAAATTGCCCTTTCTCTCTCCACTTCTCGTAGTTTCTTTCTCTAAAAATCTTTTTTTTTTCTTCCCCATTTCTCTTCATTAGGGAAGAGAAATTCTTGACTCGTTACTACAAAGCCCTACCCTAATCTCGGCTTTGGATCGCCTGAAGTCAGCGCCGGCGAGAAAAGTTTCGGGATCCGAACCCGTTAAGCTCGTGTACGTGTTTCAGAAAGAGTACGCGACCGTCGACCCCTCTCTTGTACAGGTGAAGTTGTACAATTTAGTTTTAAGTGTTTTGGAAATTTACAATTGAGTCCTGCTAATTTATCATTACCTGAGCTCCTACTACTCGAAAGTAATTGATATTTTTTTTAATTGAATGATGTTTGGATTTCGTTTTGGGTTTAGAAATGAAGAAGTACGGCGCAGATTATGTTTTCTAAAGCCACCAAATCAATGTTCATAGTCGGTGCATATTTTTTTTAATTTTATTTTAGGCTTTTTTTTTTGAAATTTTGGAAGTTGAATATTGATTGTACCTGATCACTAACTCTGGCAGATGTACAACTGATATTGAACTTCGCGCAAATTTTTTATTTTTTTGATACTTTATTTGCTTGCAAATAGTGGTATATTTACAAGTAAAATCTTGGAGCAAAATTTAAGAAGAGGACAGAGTTGAATGCTTGAACTGCAGCTTTAAAAAAATTGTAGAATGGAGTAGAGATAGCTAAAATGGATAAGGTGTGTCAAAGAACGACTGTTTTAATCATTTTCGATTAATCAGACAGTGCTGCTTAAGTTGTTTAATAGGATACCATTATCACTGCAGAGGTTAAGTGTAGGTAAGTACCTGTAGAGTTCTTCTTGATCAAGCAATGCCCTTGAAATTAATGAAACCTTTTATCAGTTATGTGTTAGAATTCCAGCAAATGTGTCAAAAAATGATCATTAGTTGCAGCTGGAATAGACATTGAGGAGGTTATAATAGAAGACAGGACAAATATTGTTTACATTTGTTGGAAGCTTTAATATAGTTAGCATGAGAAGGGGGAAATCATTCAGATGGTTTCGACATATGCAATGGGGGTCAAATGGGTGTAAATTTAAGAGGGTGTATTCCTTGAGTAGGTGCTGCAAGGACAAAGGGTAAGCCAATTTAAGATAATAAAACCATAAGAAGCTAATTGCGATGCAAAGTTGAAGAATAATTAATTTGTTCTATCATTAACCTATATTGATGGGTATCCTTTAAATTTTTTATATGAAAAGCCGTGTGCATACTTGTCACTTCAGCTCCTAAATGTTACCTCTGTAAATGTTTACTGTTAACAGTAGAGGGTAAAGTGTTGTGATTCGTAATCTACTGCACTAACCCTGTACATAAGGCCTTACAGTCTCCAATTTATACTAGTTCATGAGTTGTCTTGTACATTTGTAACGCACTGATTCAGATTTTAAAAGTACAAGGCATTGCTTTTATGAAAGACGATGTGGAGAAATAGTTTCACCATGACCTGGCCCTTAAAAATTAGGTGAAACCCTTGCCTGGAAAATAATACTCACCATTGTGGGTAGTCATTCTATGTTATCGGGTCTATGAATTGGTGAATAGACTGCTGTCACTACTCCCCTTTACGACCTTCACTTATTATTGTTTCTTTCCTTTGTAGTTTGTGGGCACAGATGAGGCAACAACATGTGTGGGTCTGGTGATCAGAAATCGGGAGACTGGAATGTAAGCATTTATACATGATCAAGGTTGTACAGGTTGAAGTATGGCTCTTCAAATACATTGACTTCATTTTGATTATAGGACCTCCATTAGCCATATGGATTTTGAAGGAATTGTTGATATGGGCCTATCACAGATGTTATCTTCAATTGTTAATCAGGAAATGGATGCAACTTTAGATGTATGTTCCTTCCTCCCTTCTGGTCTGGTCTTGTTAATAATGATTTTCTTCTTTTCATGATTTAAATGTCGCATTGTCAACTTGAGTAGCATTTGGACTGCAGGTTCATCTGATTGGTGGCTTTGAAGATACATCCTATGAGGTTTGAATCGAGATCCTACTCCTTTTTTGTTAGCTTGAGGTTCTCTTTTAAGTTTATTAAATGGTAATAAAATTCTCTGTTGCTGTGTTCTGAATGCAGAATATCAATGGGAGTAGTGGATCAGCAAGGCATAAGAGGCAAGATGGGTTTTCACTGCCTTTATGCTCCAAAATAGTTGCAGCTTTGCAAAATAGGAAGGAGAGGTTTCATCTGCAAACATTCTGTGTACTTGGGCATAACACCAAAAAAGATTCAAATGGAAATCCATTGCCCATCATCAGTGGCTTTTTGGTAAGTTAATGCTGCATTTTTCTAGTGTTTAGTGAGAGTATATTATTGACTTCGAGATAATTTGGGGGCCTCATTATTCTCGTCAATAAAGGGTTTATTGGCCATACCAATGCCAGATACCAACAAACATACACATTCACCCCCACAAAAGAAAAACCTTTCAGATTGAGAATCAAGAATTTCAAGATGTAGAATCAGTTATGACTATCGTACTCTTGGTGCAATCTGCTTAACTCAGGGAAAGCCCCCCTTGGATATTATTTTGTAACCTTGCCCATTTTCACCTAACTATCTTGGTTAATGCTCCAACCTATCTTTACTGGAAAATTGAGTCTTCTTGCTGGTAATTCAAATCATCTTTTATGTTTGATTTTATTCTCAGACTGTGTTTTTTACTGTGTTTTACTTAGCTGACCTAGTGAGCTAATAAATATCTTATGTTCTAGGTTGTTCTTCTTTTCGATAATCATCTCTTCCATCAAGCATAGATCTCTATGCTTGGAAATTCCCAATGCCTTGAGCTAAAATAAATTGTGTGAAAAAAATTCTATCTAGACCTTATCACATATGTAAGCAAAAGTTTTTCCCCCCTTCATCAGTTTCTTAAGTTAAAGAACGACAATGTCAAATAACTTGTTTCATAAATGTTGAGGGATGTCATCTTGAATGGAAATTTATTGAACATAGCATATAAGCAGAATTTTTTATGTAGATGGTTGAGGGCATCACTTGGAGAATGCACACAAAATCATCTGGTTGTTTGCATGACAGTAGTTGTCACTCAGTGCATCAAATGATGGAAGGAGAATTGTGTTGATCGGTTGATCTTGTTTGGAGCTGAATAATTGATGGTAGATTATTCTTAGAAAGTAACAGTCTGGAAACCCAAAAGGTTGTAAATGCTTAGGTTGTGTTTGGCATCTCCTCCTTAATCAGGTTTGTGGATCTTAACCTGGTTAAGGTTTGAACTGTGTTTGGCAAAAATTGTCAGAATTGGCCCGGTTTTTGTAGTTCATTTTCGCCTTTAACTGGATTAGGATTGATCCCCACCCCAAACAAAAAGAGAAAAAGAAAAAAGAAAAAACCCTAGACCTGTCCTAACCTGGCTAAAGATTTGCCAACCGCAACCATAGTTGGGATTCTTGGTCTTGCTATGCATGGGTGGGAGTAGAATTTAGTTTGTGACGCTGGGCTATGGATAATTTTCATGAGTCATTGTTAGGTGTCTCACTGATTTTTGTACCCATGCATAATATACTTCAAGTCTGATAGCGCAAATTTTATAATTCATATATCTTAGTATCTCGGGGACTAGGATTCTGTAGATTTTTTTCTACAAAGAGTCCTTCATGGGTGGGTTCACCGAATAAGCAGATCAGGCCCATTCTGAAGTTTTGCCGACTTAATTGTAAATCTTGAAAAGCATAGCTTGTTAATAGCTATCTTACAGTTGCATCTAAAGACTCCTATTCTCACAACCATGGAAAGGACTATTGATCATTATTTTATGGGGTGTTTTCATAAATGTTAGTGTCTAGTAGGATTTATTTCTAAGAAATACATGCCTTTTGCAGCAGATTTTCCTACCTTTTTCTTTAATCTACTTTTCTTTCTAGTGTCATAAGGGTATATTACGAGGTAATATTTATTTGTGGGATGATTCTTAGATTGCCGCTTCATTTGATGCCAGTTTTACAAAAGCCCTTTTTTCCTTGTATTGCTTATCATATACAGTTTATAGTTTCACTTGCCCTGTACTTATTCTGCAAATGAGAGAGATACTATTTAAGAAGAAAAGCTCAACCCCACTGATGATTATATCCTCTCAACTTCAACGGTTCCTATTGACATCTAAATGTGTTCATTACTGATTGCTAGGTAGATACTTTATCTGGATTAATTGTGCCTGCCAGCTTTGATAGAACATCTAGATGTCCAGATGAAGTTGTCAGGAGGGTTCGAGTGACTGTAGCTTTTGAAGATCCTGGATGGAAAGGAAAGTTATTGGAGACATATGATACCCATCATGATAGATTTCAGATTGCTCCTTGCTCATGGTAATGCTTTCACTCCAGCTATATCTTGCTAATATATATTTTAATGATACCTCAATTTCATGCATAATATAAATGACCAGGTCCTTATTTTATCTATGCAAACACTTTTAGGTTAGTGCACATAGTTTCAAAGTCATGCGTACTTATGACTTAGTTCCAAGTTCTATAATGCATTATACAATCAAGTATTTTTGCACTATACAGTGCAACAAGGATGTACTCAAGCGAAATTGAAGTTAAACATTTTTGCATGTCGAACTGTTTACCTCATTGTGTTTAAGTTACACAAATATTTGATGCAGGAGACGTGTAAATGTTTTACTTATCGAATACTTGGGTGCTCTAGTACTTGGTTCTACGTGTTGAGACTTGAGACTCCTTTTGACGTGTAAAACTATGTGCATATCAAATGTGTCTGAGACAGAAACTAAAATTCAAATGTATAAATGATGCATTTATTGTTCTTCATGTAACTGTTGACTTACAAGACTAGAAATATTTCATACTTCTCTAGATATGCTGGACTTTTAACTTGTGTACTTCCTAGCTTTTGTAATTTATACAACAGCAATGAACAGTAGCCCACACATACATACAAGTTTTCATTCCCACGTATCCATGTCCTCACTTTTTAGGATTTAGCTTTTCCTCATGCATCTTGTTGTACCCATGGTCGGAATCGTTATGGGTGCACTATAAGGTTCACTTTTGGGATTTTTAACGCCAGTGTTTTTTCCCCTCCTCATTTTACTGATGCAGGACCTCTGACTGGAGTCAATATGCTTTCTCGTTACTGGAACTTCCAGATTCTGAAATCCTCTCGAGATGTTCAACATCACCAGCTGCAGAGTCTCCCGACTTCATTGAAAATGAAAGAAGGTATGACCATCCTCTGGTGTCGTCTTTGTTCTTGATTTTCTTATCTCTTTCTGCTTGAGGTTCTTGATTTGCTTGTCTCTTTCTGCATCAGTAATAACCCACGCCTTTATACTTTCAAGACTTTCAGTAAGGTACTTTGTCCATACAGAGCTGATAACATATCCACGGCTTGTAGACATTATGATTGCTGATAAATTTTTTTCTTTTTTTTTAACTTTTATCATTAAAATTGAAGTGATGCCTGATCAAGGTCATGTCACGACCTAAATGAACAGCTCTTGTCAACTTACGAACCCTTGTGTTTCCTTCTATCAGAGTTGTTTTATAAAGATCACAACATGATGTTTCATCTTCTTGCGCAGAATGTGGGACTATTTGATCAAGCACCCAGACTGGAGGCAAACTTTTATAAGGAGGAAGCCGCGTATTTTTGAGAGGACGGCTGGTGGAGAGTGGAAAAGACATAGTTAGTTCAGTGCTCGGTCTTCAAACTACATGAAGTAAATTTCTTGGTTTCCCATTCATTTCAAGCTTTTCATCTCATTTAGTGTTGATTTTTGCTACCGGCATTGTAGCAATTTTTTCCACCTTCTGCCCCATATAATGTATACTAAAGATTCAGCAAATTGTTTACCGGTAAAAATTTGTCTATTATGTGAAAAATTGAAGAGCGAGTTGTATTACACTAATTTATTAGAAGTAATTTGGTACCCAAATCAAGATTCATGACCAAATGTTAACCTCACTTTGCCAGTCATAATCTGTCCGTACCGCATGTGCTCTTGTACTATACACCACGGATGCATATCCTATCTCTCTATCTCTAATTAGGTGGTGATTAAATAGGGTCCAATTACTCAAATCGGAGTTGTTAATTCAAATTTCGAGGGCTAGAATGTGGTCACGTAGAATTCTAATATTATCTAAAAAAATCGTTGTGAACCACTAATATCAAAACTATGAATAGTAAAAGTTCTACGTGGCTACATCCTACCCGTTGAACCGAATCCATATACCATCCCTGCACCACATGCCAAATGCCTGATCATACGCATCAGTGCCAACGTTAGGTTGATTTTGTCCAATGAATACATATCCATATCCAGTTACAAATCTACTTAGGGCCTGTTTGGTTGCCCGTTTTTAAGAGGGAAAGTGGCTGAAACTTGTCACAGATGGGACCAACTGTGGCAGCTTTCAGACAAAATCGCCTCTTTTTAGAGGCGATTTTGCCTGAAAGCTGTCACAAATGGAACATCTGTGACAGCTTTCTCTTTCGGAATAAACCAACCAAACGGGCCCCTAGTGTCCACACGACACATGTTTCAAAAAAACCCCGTTTTTTCTTTCTATCCTTAGCTGGGTGTATTATATTTATGGTCTCAATCTGAACCAACATTCTAGTTTCCGTCAATGAATGAAACTTGTTTCTCTACCTAGAAATGTTACAGAACACCGTGAGGTATTGATTCCTTTGATTTGGCCATTCTATATTATATATAAGAGTGATCAGTTGCACTATCTAAATCAATAAATAAATGAATAAAATTCGAATCAGACGTATCAACATTAAGCCCAGTGGAAAGGGACCCGTAATTACCATACGCTACATCTCCATCTTATCTTTCTTTTGGGCAGAATCAACCTTTTTTTTTATTTACACTCTAGAAAACAGTCAAAAGGTATTCTTTATCTTTTCGCTTTGTCGAAATACAGCGCAACAATCGCCCAAGCATTTAGAAATAACTTTTTTTTTATCTTCTCAAATAAATCACCTGGCTCTGTACAAAGCCAAATTAGAGGCTACAAACCTCCACTTGTTGACATATAATATGCTTCTATTTATGTTCAGAATCTGTATCGCCGTCTACTAGTAAAGATTAGCGAAATTGTTCGTCTTAATCGAACAATTTCACCAGAACATTGTAATATGATAGTATTTATATCTGAAATGAAGCATAGCCGTCATAAATATATAAATGTACGATCATGATTTACGAACCGATCTTCCTATTTTTATATACTAAAATAAAGTAAAAACATCAAGCATCTATGCGGTGGACTAATATTTTCCAAAGACCCAACTTGGTCATTTCCCCATCAAAACGTCCAAGCTCCAGCTATAAAGCGAAGGCTTTGTAGAAAAAGAAAGGGAACTGCGGGCTATAAATTTAGAGCTCGGGATCGAGTAATTCACCGTAACAACATAAGCAAATTGCATATTACGTAGGAAATAATGGGGAGTTTCAAAGAGAAGGGAGGAGACTTGAAGCATGCGCTCAACGAAGGCTTCAGAACGCTGAAGCACGTGATCAAGAACGGGTGGAAGAAGGCCAAGAGCTTGGGGGAGAGGAAAGGGAATTAGGCACGTGAGGCGCTTGGATGTTGCAGTAATTTTTGATGCGTTCTGTTCTGTTCTGTTATTTCTATGTACGCTTTGGAGTTCAACCATGTAGCCAGTTTCTTTTCTTTCTTTTTTTTGTTTTGCAGTGCTCTTTCTATATATGTAACTGTTTTCTGATGTAGAGATGTTATGTATTGTGTGAGATTTCGAGTTTGAAGGCATGGTTACGATTGTCTTTAGTTCATTTTGGAGGCTTTTAACCAAGCTACAATTGAACCGGCTCATACGATGATTCAATTCTGGCCTGGTTAAAAAATAAAACCACATTGGCCCAGTTTGGAGAGGTTTGCCAAACAGCCCCGAGTACACATTGGTCTAAAAGAGAACTAGGTTAGGATGGTCCAAAAATAGAGTGTATCCTAAGAAGTAGCCAAACATTGGGACATAATTAGTCGGTTGTTTGTGAAACACAAGTGTGTGTTTCGCAACAAGTTAAAATTGGGTCAGGACTGAACCTGGCCCAATTTTAACATGTTTCTTGTTTGTCAAATTTTCAGGTCAGAGCTGGTCTAATTTTTTAGCCTAAATAGTACCACTAAAGCAGTTTTCTTTTGGACCAGGGGGGTATGGTCCAAAAGAAAACTGGTTTAGTACGAAACTATGTCAGGACTGGTCCTGACCCAGTTTTATTCACTTTGTCAAACACGCCACAAGTGTTGCTCTTTATCTAGGTTAAGGAGCCAGTAATCTAGTTAAGAAAAAGTTACCAAACATACCCACAAAATTAGGTCAGGCTCGAGCTAGTTTAGAGACTATCTTTTGGCCTAGAAAAAAATGAGTCAATTTTTTCAATGCTACAAAAAATATGAAATGCGGCCAATTTTTGGGCCCAATTTTTTCCAAACATTTTCAGTCTAAAATGAAAGTAAGAGCAAACATAGTCTCATTTTAAGGAACCGCTTTTTCAGTCTAAAATGAAAGTAAGAGCGAACATAGTCTCATTTTAAGTAACTGCCAAACAAAGCCTAAATATATGTATATTTATGTATCCGTGAGCAACAAAAATATTATCGAGATGAGCAGTCACAATTATATTAAAATACAAAAACTCTACCTACAAACTATAAATTTTCAATACTTCAACAAAACAAAGTACGACCAAAATACTCACCGTTGCTTTAAGTAATTAATTAATTATTTATTCCTTCTCCGTCGAGGCGTCGACCAATCAGGCTGAGTCCCACCTGCCTCCGTTTCAATGAATTCCTGACTACGTTTTGGCACAAATGGGCCGAGACCAATCGAAAGCCCAATCAAATGCAACATGAAACCTACTCCCTCTGTTTATCAACTGTAGCCCACTTAATCCGTTCTCTTAGTAAGTCAAGTGCAGCAAACTAGAGCTGAAATAAATTGAAGGATGAATTTCTATAGCGTTGCCCAATTAGAAGTAGAAATTGGATAAAATTTAAGCCGCATTTATTACCAACAGAACCGAACCTCAATGGAAGCCTCCCTTCAGCTCGCTTTATTGAAGCCTCCTTTTTAGTTTTTAGACCGGAGCTCCTGCATTGTTGCCGAAAAGAAGTCAAACCCAACCAAAACCGAAGCCCACTCGTTATATGATAGTTCATATCTAATATGTGCTCTTTATAAGAACTCAAACTCTATTAAGCCCCTATGGTTTCATCTGCGAATCTATTAAGCCCCCGTGGTTTGTTTCGGCTTTATTAAGCCCCCGTGGTTTCATCTGCGAATCTATTAAGCCCACGTGGTTTTTTCGGCTCTATTAAGCCCATGTAGTTTCATCTGCGAATCTATTAAGCTCTCATTTTTTTCTTTTTTTCTTTTTGACTCTATTAAGCCTCTGTGGTTTCATCTGCGAATCTATTAAGCCCCGTGTTTTGAATTTCAAATGGGACTTAATAGATTCGCAGATGAAACCACGTGGGCTTAATAGAGTCGAAAAAAACCACGGGGGCTTAATAGATTCACAGATGAAACCACGGGGGCTTAATAGAGTCGAAAAAAACCACAGGGGCTTAATAGATTCGCAGATGAAACCATAGAGGCTTAATAGAGTTTGAACTCTCTTTATAATTCAGTGGATCGAATATAAGCATACTAGTAAGAGATAGGTACAGTCACACTCAAATGAGACAGACCATTCAAATCTGAAGATAAAATGTTATATTTTAGCTAGCCACTAGCATATTGGCACGTGCATACACACGCCTAAAAAATATTTAGTTACGCGGTTAGTCTTATGTTTTTATTTAATAGTTTGATGATAATTTAATTTATGCAATTTTAATATGGAGGGTCTATATAGAAAATGTATGTTAAACTATTATTTATCAATTAAATCTATCATTAACACAATTTTGGTGTGTAATTTCCTAATTGAGAATAAAATATTTAGAGTAATTTAAAAAAAATGGGGGATATTGCAATAATTATGTGTGTGCTATCATTGCGTGATTTAGAATGTTCTAGAAATTAAAAAAACAAAAGAAAAGAAAGAAAATAGATGTTCCAATTGAAAAATTATAATCTTAATCATGTGAGTCCAAATTCTATTTTTATGTCATGATTAGAATCTTCTAGAAATAAGAATGAGAAGAAATGAAAGGAAAAAAGAAGCTCTTGTAAAATTACCATTTTACCCTCCAAATTATATAATAGGAAGGAGGAAAATGTTCACTGCGCACGTATAAGTTACATTAATATGTTAATTATTTTAATGTTTATATAAATGATCATTTTAATACTTTAAAGTATCATAGATATTTCTAAGATGTTTTTATGGTATTGTTCATTTAATATGCAATATTTTATCTTAGCTTATTTAAAATTGGTTATGACGTATTTATATTGGAAATGTATTAGAATTCTACTTGTTATTTTTATTGTATTTATTTATATGGAAAGAACTTTATTATTTCATATTTATATATATATTTTTAAATATGAAGTGTAATAGATAGTAAACTAGTAACCTTTATGATATGCTTCATATAGTTCTAGAAAGGAAGAAAGAGGGGAGGGGGGGGGGGGGAAAAATTTTGTAAAATAACCAAATAGTCTTCACGTCTTTAGTGAGATGAAGGATAGTTTTCCAATAAATCAATGATAGGGCCACACCCTCTATCATACTCCCAACCACACTACCTCTCTTGCTACAGTATACGGAGGCCCACATGATATTTTAATTAATTTTTAAAATCTCATGTGGGCCCTGTGCACTGTAGCAAGAGAGGTGGTGTGATTGGGAGGGTGGTAGAGGGTGTGCCCCTAGTGCCTCTCTTTCCAATATACTTCATACTTTTTCTATCCTCACTCAGTTTTAATATAGTACTATCTATACTTACTACATAATGGAAATAGTGGGGGTAGGACAAAAATGGATGATAAGTGGACATTTCCTCCATTCTTGTTGTATTTGAAAGCATAGAATTGTAATTTTATTATTGGAGAACTTTTTTTTATTTTTTCTTTCATTTTTATAGAACTTTATAAAACGTTGACATGAGCTTATTATTAAAGCTCATTAATAACATACCCATTATCTTACATATCATAAAAGATATAAATATGAAATGATAAAGTTCCTTTCTATAAAAAAAATGCACATGGATAAATATAATAAAAATAATAATTAGATTTTCAATATGTTTGAATATAATTAAGTATTATCAAAAGTGTATATCTATATACTTTGGCTAAAAATAATTAAAATATTTTTTTTTGAGAAAAAAAAGGATGTGTTATCACACAGACCCCTAACCTATCTATTAGCCACTAAGGTGGTTACATAAAAACACTACACCCCCAATCAAAGATGTAGTGGTAGAACTGTTCACCTGATTTTTACATAGTTACCTAAAATACCCAACAAAATATCACACAAAAAACTACTACTCATCATATTAATTAACATATGTATAAGCCAAAAGCTCAAGAAAACCTTATCTATAACTAAATAATATTCTACTCATTCTTGATCAACTGTGTTAGCAGCAGGACCCCTAGATCCAGCACCATCAACAAGCACACCTACAATATATAGAAGTCCTTATGCATCTCATAAGATTCTATCTTACCCTTTTCCGAGTAGCATTTCTCATATCACAAAGCAGAATTTGAAGCATTCCCTGTCCAAAAGGTGGAGAAGTGAATAATTTTGTTGAGAACCTCGAGAGATCTTCATTCCTCACATGCCAAATACACCATATAGTTGCAAATATAGAAGTATCCAACTTTAAATTCTCTGTAGGAATATTAGATGATCCCCAAAGCAATCATAAAGTATATAAACTATGTGTTCTAAGATCTTCACTTAATGTAAGTTTAAACTGTAAAGACTTCCAGATAAAAGAAACAAAATCACACAGAAGAAAAAGATAAGAGTGAGTCTCCTCCTCTTTAGTCTTTACCACACAAACAAGATAAGGTATCCACATTTATACCCCTTTTGGCTAACACATCTTTTGTATTTAGCTTTCCTTTAATAGCAAGCCAAAATAGAATTTCAACTTTCATAGCGATTGGGACTTTTCCAAATGTTCACACAATTAAATCTCAAGCCTCTACCAAAAATTGATAATAAGATTGAACAGGAAAATAAATAAAATAATAACTTGAATGAATATGAAAAGTAAAGTTTTCTAAAGAACTTTTTCTAAGAAAATTATGGGACAAATTTTCAAAATCAACCTTTTTAGCATTTTAAATAGCAAAATCGACCTCATCTGATTTTATTCAACAAAACCGACCCTTTTCAGAAGAAAAGGGTCGGTTTTGCTGGAAGACAATTTTTACGAAATACACGGGACTGCTAGTCCCGTTTTTCAGAAGAAAAGGGTCGGTTTTGCTGGAAGACAATTTTTACGAAATACACGGGACTGCTAGTCCCGTGTATTTCAACCCAGCTTTGAAATACACGGGCAATTTTTACGAAATACACGGGACTGCTAGTCCCGTGTATTTCAACCCAGCTTTGAAATACACGGGACTGCTAGTCCCGTGTATTTCTATGGCAACTTCGTCAGGTTCCGCACGAGGTTGAGGCGCCAAAGGCTGATGCAGAGCCAATGAGTGTTGACAGTGCTGCTTTGTCCTCGATCTCCTTCTTCTCCCCTCGGAACTATATCTACCAACCTCCCTCACTCACTCACTCCATGCAACTCTCTCTCTCTCTCTCTCTCTCTCTCTCTCTCTCTAGCTAGCTAGAACCTAAGAAATAAGTAAGAAAACACGATGGAGATATTGGTCATACTAACCGCATTGCTCCTCTCATTCTCTCTCTACCCCCTATACAAGCTCTTCGATCAATGGCGAAACCGGGGGGGCTACCTCATCGACTACGTCAACTTCAGGCCCTCCGACGACCGCGAAATCCCCACGGAGTTCTGCGAGTCCATCGTCCGCCGCAACAAGCGCCTCGGCCTCGAAGAGTACCGCTTCCTCCTGAGAATCATCGTCAGCTCCGACATCGGAGAGCACACCTACGGCCCCCGCAACATCGTCGAGGGGAGGGAGGATAGCCCGACCCACGGCGACTCCCTGCTGGAGATGGACGAGTGCTTCTTCGGGACCCTCGATGCTCTCTTCGCCAGGACGGGCTTCGCGCCCACGGACGTAGACGCCCTGGTCCTCAACGTGTCCATGTTCTGCCTCGCGCCCTCGCTGTCGGCGAGGATCGTGAACAGGTACCGGATGAGGGAGGACGTTAAGGTGTTCAATCTCTCTGGCATGGGATGCAGCGCCAGCCTGATCTCGCAACAAGATATACAGCAGTACTAGTAAGAATACTGGAAGAAAAAAACAATCAACAAATGTCAACAACAGTTGTTTCAACTAGCAATTGGTCCTTACATTAGATTCCATCGGCTCCAGCTTACTCATCTTGGCAAACATGTTGCCATAGAAATACACGGGACTAGCAGTCCCGTGTATTTCAAAGGTGTTGAAATACACGGGACTAGCAGTCCCGTGTATTTCGTAAAAATTGGCTTACAGCAAAACCGACCCTTTTCTTCTGAAAAGGGTCGGTTTTGCTGAATAAAATCAGATGAGGTCGATTTTGTTATTTAAAATGCTAAAAAGGTTGATTTTGAAAATTTGTCCAAAATTATGGCATCGATCAAATTGAAATATTTATCATAGTCAATTTTGAATAAGATAAACAAAATATAGCTTATTAAATGAACAAACACCATAAAAAGCCCATGGAAAAATTAATGATTCCTTAGGGCATTAAAGTAACCTATTTTACATAAAATTTAGAAATTTAAAGTTTTAATTTCTATTGCACGTGGAATAGTGCTGGCAGAGACATAAATGCCCACGTTCTTTTTTCGAAAATTTTGCACCCCCTTTTGAAAACACATATTCTAAGCATTTAAATTGGCCTAAATATGTTCAGTGTGGCCCGATAAATCTCCCTGGGCCGTTGCATCCCCTACATATTGGGAATTAACAAATGGGCCCGTATTATACCTTTTGCCGAAGTGTACTATGTTATCAAACGCATTTCCTTTTTTTCCCCTTTTTCGTTTTAATTACTATAAATATCAAACGTGTTGTGAAACTAAATAAAATAACTTAATTGATTATTTTCCCCATATATCCTCTGTAACTGTTTAAATTGACACAGATGTTCTCAATAGATAAAAGTAGATTAGGAAAATATGAAGATTTTTTTTTTTGAAATTTTGAATTTGCAAATAGTCACAATTAATACTAATGTCAAAGATTTTCATGTGGTTAAAAAGAGAAAGTCGCCAAATAAGATGAACCTTTAGTCCAACTTGTTGGGAACCAAATTGCAAGCGAAGCTTTGCTTGATTATTTTCTACCCATATATATATATATATATATATATTTTGAACTTAAAGTTCATTTTACATCAGCATACAAGTGAAATATAAATATAATGTTTGTATGAAAGATCAAAGTATTGTTGAAGATAGAAAAACTATGACCATGTGATAATATCATTATTAATTTTATCTAAATCTATTATACTCACGATACGTTTGCTAATAAGTAGAATAGTTTTAATTATGAGTAGTCTGGTTTTTCCCCTTGAGATTGATTTCAACAGATATTTAAAAAAAGTTGAATATACATCAAATATGACTTGATATTCTTTTTGTGTTTCATTCACATACACTTTTGAGAAAATGGTCATATGATGTGTTGAAAAGTGTCACTTTGAAACTCTCATTTTTCACTTTCATGCTATCTAGTACTTTCTCAATTGCTCTAAATTAATCTTTTTGTTAGTTTCTTTTGTCAAGTTTCTTATCATTGACCTTATGGATTGTCATTTTATCCTCAATTCATTTATTACCCTTAAAATTATAAATTTCATTTACAGTCTTCTGTAAATTGGGCTGGATAAACAAGACTTTTAGATGGTTTTAGGGCTGAAAATAAACTTAAGAAAGAAGTATAACAGAAAACTCGAGTCAAAAAGATTAAGTTAATGGAATATTCCTCATCGCTAGGAGTTCACCACGACTACGTTCTGGGGCGAATAGAGATTTCTCATCCATTTAAAGGGGCAGATGGAATTTCCGGTGCTATGTTAATGACTTATTTTAAAATATGAAAGATTTTAAGTAATGGATATCTAAAAGTCTCTCAATTTAATAATTCACAGTGCTTTGCTAATGACTACAACTCTCTAATCTCTACACTTATATCATTCAATAGAGATTAAAAAAACCTTGAAATAATTATGTAAATGATTGTAGTTGTGCATTGACTTTAGATTGTTTCATTTATGAACTATCCTTGTTTGTTTAGTATAAACAATTTTCTTGTTAGATAAAGGCATTTTATCCATTCACTATTTATTTACTACAAGTATTAATCATTTTTTTCTCATTTGAACGTTTAACACCTTTCTTAATTTCCTAGGCGGTTGGCTTTCCCTTTCCCTGTTCCCAAATCCTCCCACTAATAAGAGCTCACAGTTTCAAACTCACATGGTTCCTCTGAGCCTTTCTCACGCACGCAACAAACAAACATCAACACTTTAAAAAACAGTCAAACACCGAATTGCCCTTAACCGTCCACTTAACCCAAAATACACCAATCCACAAAATTATCACAAAACCCAAAAGCAAACAATCCATTACGACTAACCCCCCTTCACCATTACATAAATTTACAACCCCCCACCCCAAAACCCCTCACCTCCTCCCTCTCTTCTTTGCCACCGGCGG